CGCATTGCGTCGCCACCGCTTCGGTGTTAGGGCTCGATCTCATCACGCCTTTCTTCTTCCAGGTCCTCTGCTGGTTGTCAGATTTCTCCATACCGGCGGTGAAGAATATTGCGGCTCTCGTCTATAATGACCACGGATTTAATTTTACACTTTATTCTCCAGATGCAAGTTGCTTATTTTAACGGATTTTTATACTAGAATTTTTTTAATTTAAATTTTATTTAATAAATTCGTCTTTTCTTCTGTATATATATAGATGGAAGGTATATTACTTGCCTTGAGATCTCGATTTTGATCATTTTGAAATGTCTTATATACAAATAATATTTTAAGAACAACTACAAACATATAATATTTTAATAACAGCGTTTTTTATTGTAAAGCTCATAATAATAATCATTAATTATATATCTCTTAAAACTCAAATTGTAAGAAAGAGATAAATATTTTTCTACGTAAATCGTCTATGATTTTTTAATATAATATGAAATTCGAATATACGATTTTAAAAAACTAAACTTTTGCAAATAATATATTCATATGTTCATAAAAACTTTATATATTCTCGTTATAAAAGTGCAAATAAAAAAAGTCTACTTATAAAATATTTTATTAAATTTTTTATATATATAACAAATTTGCATATCCTATTTCCCTTACAAATCAGATTCTCGCAATTTTTTAACTTTTTAAAGCGAGATTATCTTTATATAACAAAAAAAGTGTTATTACAGTCTTTAATATTTTTCATGATTTTTTAGATTTTTATATTGTATAATGTAAATGTTTATCTCCCGACAATCAGTTTTTTTTAACGAATTTAATCTCTGTTTACACAAAATCGAAAAAAAAATTCGTGTTGAAAACAAAATAAAAAATTTGATATTTTCTATGAATGATAGCATTTCTGTCTCTAAACGCGATAGAGATCAAAGGGAGAAAAAAAGAAATGAAAAGCGTATCACTGAAACTACAAGCAATAAACAATTACGGAATTGAAAAACTTTTACATATATATTGTCAATAGAGATGCAGTTGAATAATATTATTTTAATTTTCAATCGAACCATTACAATTTTGTTATATTATTTTTGTGAAGCTTTGCGTTGCTATGCTCACACGACTCGAATCAATAAAATTTGCCACGCGAAAATACATTATATGAAACTCTCCTATACAATATTAATCGTATATATTGTATGATAAAATACCACAAGAATACTTTTTTTAATCTTTCTTTCCCCTTTAAAGAAAAAAAAAAAAAAAACAGAAGTGTAAAATTATTGCACTCCAGCAATCAAAAATGAGATATTGGAGCCTTGCGACAAAATTGTCGGCAGATATTTTATGGTTTCACTTTAAATGCGTTTAATTATGTTGCATTTCGAATAGCAGGGATATATTGTAAATAAAATTCGAGAAGCATTATCATCATAGCTAAGAAAAGAAATCTCGTTGACATTGCATTCAAATTAAGTACCACGTGAAAAATCAAATATTCATTTTGTCTTCCATCTGAATCACCACATATTATTAATTTCACGGAACGTCGATAAAATTATACACATGCGATCGCTACTCTCCTTGATCTCAAATACAATCCCACAGAATATTTGCCACATAATAAGAGCAATATATAATTCCAAATTTGATCCTTATTAAGATTTACATATCTGCATTTATTTTTTTTTTTCCCCCAATTTTGCGTTATATCTATCAAAGCGAGTAATTTGATCGAAAACTAAGCAAGGTATTTATCTTTTTCGCGTTATATTGAGGCATACAAGACACCTGTCAAATTCAGATTCGCGTAGGGTTAAGGGTTAAATAATACGTACGTACGTGCGTGTATGCGTGCGTGACGCAAGGAAAAAGAACCGACGAAAGAAGAGTACAGTTCTCTCTAACTCTAACGTAAGATTTAGCGTTTCTGTGTTACGCCTATCGCGAAACGATACGTGTAACGCGGACTAAAGAATCTTGCTCGCGGGGAAACGAGGGGAGGCAGGGAGCGGCGATTCATTACCGTTTCTACGAGTCGCTCTCCGCCGCAAGGTATCGGTATTGATCCATTGTTTAGCCCAAGGATTCACTGTCAACGGAACCGCCGTCGTGTCGCTCTCGCATATTGATTCTCGCGAGAGGAACCGAATCGCGATCGTCGCACCGAATGCGTATGTTTAGCTGATACACGGATTATTATTATGCGCTACGACACTCGATATGTTACGCGAACGTGATCGCATAACTGTTTTGACAGGGGAGGAAGAAGAACGCGCGACGTTAAACGTCAAGCGGGCGCGCGCGCGAGCACTACATCTGTCGCTGGTCGCCTGCGACGCCGGGGCCGGGAACGCCGAATCAATATCTCGTTACGTCATCGAATGTCCAAGACCAGAGTCGGGAAAGTCGCGCTTTCAGCGCGCTCAAGGGATTCTGTTTTACCGACCGGCGCGAACCTCGTGAAGGAGGGAAA